ATTATTATCAGTGTTGAAAACAGTTGTGCTGCTTAATGTTTTTGTGGTGCGGTGATACATATATATTTCAGGATTCTTTGGTGAATAGAAAGTTCAAAAGAATAGCATTCATTTGAAATAGACTTTTTTTTGTTTGTAACAATGTAGTCAATGCAACAATCTTAGTCTTGACCTTAAAACAATAATAATTTACCCAGGAAGCAAAACTGCATACATATTTCCTGAGACATCATGATTTTCTGAGAATGTATTATGAATATTGGTGTAATTTGTCTTTTTCCATTTCAGTTGGTTTTAGTATAAATCTCACTTTATTTTTTTATTTTTTATTTTTTTTCCACGTAAAGTGGAAAAATCTCCCAATGGAACAAGACAAAATACATTTGTATTCACACATACATAATCCATTTTTCCTAAATACCTAAAAGGTATTCACTTTCCTTTACATTTTTAGTGCAACTTTTACATCCCAGGCTTTTATTTATAAAGACTGAAACGGGGTTCATTAAAAACTGAACTTTGTGGTTAATGACCTGAGGGAGACCAACCTGGACGTGCTGATCTGCTTTCTAACAATGCTTACACAAATCAGGGGGTCACGGGCAGTATCAGGTGTGTGTGTGTGTGTGCGTGCGTGTGTGTGTGTGTGACAACAGCGAGAGACTATCCTTCTCTCTGCAGCAGCTTTTCCTGTTTTCACACACAAGTACTCCTATAATACACACACACTTCAGTGAGCAGCTGAAGTAGGTTAGTCTTTGCAGCTCCCATCTGCCTCATCTGCTGATTGTTAATGATCTGTGGTCGCATTTTAATGTGTTTCTCTCCATTTTCTCATTTTCCTGCCATCATCGTCTCTTTCTGTCTCTCTCTCACACAGACACACGCAAGCTACTTTCACGCTGTGACATTCATTACAGATCTCGCTCTGTCGTTGCTGTTGTTCATTGCTTGATGCTGTTTTTTGGCATTACTTTAATTTTGTCTTTCTCTTTCTTTTTCCTCTCTGTTTTGTGTTCCCTTTCCTTATGTGCGTGTTTTGTCGTCATTTTCCAAATATTCCATTTGTAATTCCCCTGCATTCTACATTCAAACCTTTTACCTTTGTGATGTTTGTGTGTATTGTGTGTATTGGCATGAATGTGTGTATGGATGGATATTTATTATTATTATATTCCTCCCTACCTCCCTGCTTTGTGTCACATACATTTCTTTCCTGTATGAACATATATATATGTGTGTGTGTGTGTGTGTGTATTGGGTCCTGAAGTCCGCCGTTGGAAGCGCGTAGCAGGCTGCTCCTGAAATGCTCCAAGTGCGGTGTGATCTCCAGTACTGCCCTGTCCAGCTCTACCGCCAGCAGCGCCATGTTAGTCTCATTCCATATTCTCTCTTTGTCTCTTCTTTCTCTCTACGTATCTTTCTTTTTTTCTCTCTTTCTTTCTCTAGAGCCCAACATTGACAGTAAGAAACAGAAACTCTTCAAAGAGTCGCCCTCCTGTCTGCACACTCCAGAACTACATCATTTTCTTTAATCTTCACTGAAAAATGCCCTCAAAGAAGATCGTTTATGGCATTACAATATTGCAAATCATTGAATAGACATTATAAAAATGGCTTTAGAAGTCGATATATTGTTTATTCGTCAGACATAAGCCTACGGGAACCACAATTCAGTGCAATATATTTTGCAGTCCAGTCATAAAAGTGTCCAAGACAGACTTCAGGGCCATTCACACAGAACACGTTTCTGCTTTGAAAAATGCAAGACGTGGGTGGTGGAAGGGAGAAAAACACAAGGTCTCGGGAAGTGTAACTTTTTTAAACTTGAGCGTTTTTAGGACATAGCATCATGCACGAGACACAGCAAAAGACGTGAAACACAGTGATCAAAGATGTCAAAAAAATGTTGTCCAGTGGAATTGAAAAACCTGTTCTGCAGTAAAGTGCCACTGCAGTAAGACAAAATACACTTACTAAAATACTTAATATCTTTGTGTCGTACATTTAGTAAATCTTATTTCAAGGATTTTAACTTGAAAATTAAACAAAAATATGTGCAGGATTTATTTTTATTTTTTTCACAATATCTGGCTCTCGCGCTATGCTGAATAACTGTTGTAAAAACACAGAGGTCGTACATCTACCAAATTACTCTAATGATTGGAAAAACGCATTCTTAAATGTTATTTTATAAATATATATTTATTAATAAAATTAATTTAATTGTATTATTTATACAATTACTTTTTTTTTATTAAAAAATGAATGTGTTAAATTGACAGCCATATTGAAAACACAAATACATGCACATACACACAAACAAGGAGGATTGTGCTCTTTGAAGAGGTAAAGAACCAGAATGTGGATCAGAGTATGGGCCACCTCTGATTCTTTTGACTTTGGATAAATTGGACTTGTCTCTGCTATTTGCTGGAGGGAAATAGTCATGTTATTGAAATGATAATTAATTGAATGATATTGCTTCTCTGTTCCTCTTTCTCTTTGTCATTTTTTTGTTCCTCATCCCATCCTTGCTGTCTGCTTTTTCTGCCTCTGCTATCCGAGTATAAATATGAGTGTGTGGTGCCATAATACAACTTACATTCATAGAAATGAATGAAGAGGACTCCCTAAAGGAAGTTTGTGAGGACCATGTTCACATGATCCCACCGATCACCTCATTTTATTCGATGTCAGCGTTCCTGCTCCATCCCAACCCCATGCTCTCTCTCCAGTTAGTTAGGGGAGGACACTGAATTTGAGTCATGCTTTTTTACATCTACCAACTCAACCTTTTCTGCATTGTTATTATTTGAGCATGAGAACTCATACTGTAGATTTGCATAGAAGCAAATCTCTTCCTCTGTCTCATTGCTAATGTCCGTCCCATCACAGTCATATGCAGGAGACTGAGTCAGTGCAGCGTGAAGATGTTAAATTGATGCCCAGCTGTGGTGAGCCCTTGCTTGGCTGAGCTCATGCGGACAGTCCTTACTGACACCTGATATTTATCTAAATAGGCTCTGCATGATGCAGAAACAAAACGGATTAGCAACATGTTGGAAATTCATCAGGGCATGTTAGCATGAGTGCTCAGCATTATGAAAAGCAATTATTTGCCTGTTTTACAAACAAACTGAGAGCGTGTCCAAACTGGATTCACTATGTGTGTCTTTTCATGGAATTATTAAATTATAATTATTATTATTAGTAGTATTAAGTAGTAGTAGTCTTTGCATGATTACATGTTGTCATTCCCTTATGAAAATGGACCGTGGTAACCATAGTTTCCTACTAAATGAAATAAACAAATTGTAAAAATAAAATAAATTAATACAGAAAATGAAACTTGGAAATCTGCTATATATGGCTGAATCTTAAAATGCAATATTTAAAACATATATTTTTAAAAGTGTTAACATGTTAACTTGGTATATTAATTTAATATACTATTAATAGAATTTAAAACAACAATACATTAACAAAATACATAAATTGTTTAATTTTATATTATTGATATTATAATTTTATTCATTTCTAGGATGCATTTAATTCATAAAAAGTTCTTGTGAACATTCTATCTGAAAGTAAACAAACAAACAAATAAATACATAAAACGCAAAATCTTAAAAATGGAAATCTGCTACATATGGCGGAAACTTTGGTTGCCGTGATACTTTTTTGTATGGAATTCTAAATTATGCTCTCTCAATACTCCGTATGTTGCATATATAAAATGTAGCAATAACTAGGTCCGGGAGGTTTCTAATTATTACCCCTCTAATGACTCAAGTATACATTTACGCTGTATTGACACTCAGTGAAATGCCTGTAGTACAGAGCTGGTTTCTAAATCTCATCAACACCATCATAGCTTGACTCTAATCGTGATAATATCTTGATGACTAATGATTCCAGGTGCAGTGATGTCACCACCTTGCTGCGTGGATGATCAACTGCATTTTGCTCTGTACTCTCTCTGCACAGGGCATCGTTATGGAGCTCTTGTGTGGTTCTCCCTCTGTTGGCACTCACATGGATGTCAGCTGTGCTAGCCATCACAGACCGCCGATCAACTCTCTTCCAGGTGCTCTTTGCGGTCTTTGATTCAGTCCAGGGATTCGTCATCATCACCGTGCACTGTGCCATGCGCCGAGAGGTCAGTGGGTTACATCTATGATGCAACCGGCAATGATTCAGTTATCTGTGTAGAAATTATTATAAAAGTCACAATTATGAATAATAAAGTTAATAAGTAGTCAAAGTGGTTGTTCTGGGTCAGAAATAGTCTTCACTGGGTAACTTGTGCACAAGGTCACCGACAAGGAAAAAGTAACCTGCTAACAACATTTATGGGTCATCAGAATATCAGAATTTTATGTATTTATTAAAAAAAAAAAATGTTATTATTATTTTGTTTTGTTTTTAATTAACAACCTTGTTGTAACATAAAAGTATATTGGCAGGAAAAATTGCATCAAATATTATTACATTTGCTTTGGAAGGCCTAAATACAAAATGTTTTTTAAAATGTTAACATGTTAAAGGGATAGTTCACTTTCAGTTGCTGGTCCTCATTGACTTCCATAGTATGGGAAGAAAAAAAAATAATAAATAAATAAAAAAAAAAAATATATATATATATAACAAATGTTCATCCACAGCTTGAGTAGCAAGATTGTGTTCAGTTTTAACTCTTTCTTCCATGGGGACCAGCAACTGAAGGTGAACTATCCCTTTAACTTAGGATATTAATTTAATATACTATTATTATAATTTACTGATATTTACTGATTTTGATATTCTGTTTTTCAACAATGCACATCATTTATTTTTATTATTATTTTAACAAAAATAATAGTAGATATATACAGAATTTTTATGATGCATTTAATTAAAGTAAATATTCTTTTGAACGTTTGAATGGTAGTGTGTGTGTGTATGTTTTTTTTTATATATTACAAATTATATGTATTTAAACATATAAACACTATCATTCAAAAGTGATGTGTGTGTGTGTGCATGTTTATGTTTATGTGGTTTATGAGGACACAAATTTGTATAATGACATGGGTCCCCATAAACCATAAAAACAAACCTGTGTGTGTGTGTGTGTGTGTGTGCGTACATATACTACTTTCATACTTTCATATTTAGAGATCCCTGGCCTCCGGCATCAAAGAGTTTGATAAACCTGACTTAGATAACCTCTGTCTTCATCACACTATTATATGCATGTGATTGGCCATAATAATATAAGAAATAAAAGTTCCACTGTTATACTGCCAGTCTTAGAGGACAGTCAGAGGTGTATTTAAATGGCAATTGGTGGAGGATTTTTATTTGAGTCCATTATTTTAAGGCCCACTTAGGAATTAAACTTGGCTTGGAATGCTGACGCACTCAATATTTTGAAATGGCATGCACTCCTTTCACGTTATAATGGGTTGGTCTTACCGGCCATAAATTAATCAAATGATGGATCAAACTATAGTCACATTGTAGTGGGTCTGTAGCCAAGATGTGACAGTTTCAACTCTCCAGCATGTACTGTGGTAACTTGGCTGACTTTCACGTATCGGGTAATTCAAAATATGCTGCTGGTGTTTAAGGAGGGAGAGAAAAAAATCAGTTCTAAATTGCTAAGCCATATATGTTAAATCAATATTGCAAAACCAAAGGATTAGAGTAAAATAAATCCTGGTATTATTTTAGTAAATATATGAAAATCCCTGGCAAAGCTTTGATGTAATCCCTAATAGCTTTAGCAAAACAAGAGAGTGGAGTTTGTGCACCGGATCCTTGCGCTAGATGCAGTTTGATGTGCGAAGTACACTTTGAAATGGCAGAGCCAATAATGAAAAGGCAGCATTCATGATTAGCACAGGCAAATGAGTGGGGGATGGTTTATGGGAATAGTTTGTTCTCATGTATTTTTGAAGATAGAGAGAGCCTAGAAGGCATGCCATCGGGTGTCATTCTGATACGTCTACAGCTTTGACTCAGCAGACAGTCATCCATAAACAAGCTCTGAGAATGAGACCGTCTCCCGCTCTGTCTTGCGAAACAGCCTAGTGTTCCTGCACATCGTAATTTTAGTTGCGGGGAGGAGAGCAGACTGATTACAGATTCTGGTCTAGGCCGGTGAATAGTGTTGCAGCATGATAACTCATGCTCAGTTGAATAGAAAGAGAAGGGATTTACTAAACAGTGCAGAGAATGTGCAGTCAATAAATAAAGTGTTTCAACAGCATATGCTTGATGCTATTCGGAGGACGCAAGTAGATTAAAGTGTCATTTGTTCAGCGTGTAACCTTTGCAAACCATAAAAGTCGTGGCAGATCAACCACTTGGGATATGTACAACATGTTGTAGAATTAACATGTCTCAAATGTGCCTCCAGTGAACACTTGGGATGGGATTTTATCTCAGGTCTGAGATCAGGCAAACCAAATGTTCTTGTCTTGTGCATATACACTGCCATTCAAAAGTTTAGGGTGTGTAAGGTGTTTTAATGTTTTTGAAAGAAGTATTTTATGCTCACCAAGGCTGCATTTAAAATACATTCAAAATGTAAAAACTGTTCTTACATTACATGTATTATTATTACATTATATGTACAGTATTTATTTGAAATGGTGATCTCATTATATCATTTAATTCATATAATTTCGCTTTTTTTTTTTTTTTTGAGCAACCAGTGTGTGTCAGTACAGCATTTCAACAATTAAGTCAAAATGCATTTCTAAGATGTGTCTTTACACCTGTATTTAGCTCTATCCCCTTGTGATTGAATTACCTGAGAGGGGCCTTTGTCATGCATCCAGACAGTCTCAGTTAATCTCAGTTATGTTCTTTTTTGGCAACAAGAGCTCTGATCTTCCCAGTTAGGAAACACTGTGCTTTCACTTGCTCATTCTGTAGGCATTTTGGCCATAAATCTGTATGCAAATGAGTGGCGTCCCATTGCTAAGGCTACACTGTCGTCAGGGGAAACAGCATCACACTTTATTTTCTTTTTTTATTTATTATTATTATTATTATTATTAAAGGGAGTGTCTTCCTCCCTATTGTTGTAGAGCCTTTACATTCTGCAGTTATGTAAACTCCTGCAGAAATGCAAACAGGCTCACTGCAATGTTTGTCACTCAGGAATATAAACTAATATCAACGTTTTATGAGAAATCACTTACAGATGCCCTCTGTAAATTACTAAAATAACTAGATTAAACCAATAGATTCTCCTGAGTATATAGAAGCTGCTAGTGTCTTTAGGATATTTACTACTATCGTTAGTTTCATGTTAGCATCAACACAGGATGGTGGGAAGATATTCACCCGTCCTATGCATTTTTTTGAATAATGTCTTAAGAATCACTGACAATCTACTTGTTATAAAGTGATTGAGTATAATTGATTGAGTATAATAAAAGATAACAAAAACAACAATTCTTCTAACTTACTGAATGCCTAGAACCAAAATGACACATATTGATATGTAAATATCTGTAAAAAAAAACAAACAAACACTATACTTATTCTAAAATGTTTTAGTCTGCATTTTAGGATACTCTTGCTCCTGGTTTCATCTCAGATCTGTGTTGCCAACATTCCAGTTTTATTTTATTTGTATTCCCTCTGCTGGAACCCTCTTTTGTCTTGCTCTCCGACCACACAGTACCTCATGTTCTGCCATTTTTCAGAAACTGAGAGAGGATGAAAACCCTAACATTAGTGATTGACACCTGCAAAGCACACGCTTGACGGGACAACTGTCGACTGTGGTTCCATTCATGTAGTACATACTAACCAAACTCACTTTCAAAATTCAGTTGTGACTCCTGAAATTTTAAGGGGTAGCTATTGTTATAGAATATGGTTGACACTCCCTTTCATACCTGAACTGTGTATGAACACAAGCAGGCCTGACCACCTTATTCTGCTGTTGTATGCACAGCCCTAGAGAGGTTTGAAATTATGATGTTTTCCTATTTGTTTGGTTGCCTTCTTGATTTATATTACTATTTCATGGTTTTAAATTTAAATGAATGTCTCTCTGAGTCACCCTGGCTGTATCCCTTGTCTTCCCTCCTCAGGTGCAGGACGCTGTGCGCTGCAGGATGGGTGGTTGCAAAGATGACAGTGAAAACTCTCCGGACTCCTGCAAGAATGGCCAGGTGCAGATCATGGTGAATAGCATTCCATTCCATCTCATCTCACATGGAACTCTCAGAGGGTCGGCTTCACCTTTTTTAAACATCACATAATACTGGGTTATTGTGTTTCCCATCTGTGTCCTATTTCCTTTAGGAAAGCCCTTTTGTGCAATTTCTAGTATTTAGATCAAAGTTATATAATCTGTGTTAAGTTAGAGACTTAAAGGATTAGTTCACTCCAGAATTAAAATTTCCTGATAATTTACTCACCCCCATGTCATCCAAGATCAAAAAGTCAAAGAAAGTCAAAAAGAAATTAAGGTTTTGGAGGAAAACATTAGAGGATTTTTCTCTATATAGTGAAGGTCCAAATTGCAGTTTCAATGCAGCTTCAAAGAGCTCTACACGATCCCAGCTGAGGAATAAGGGTCTTATCTGGAGAAATTATCTGTCATTTTCTAAAAAATATAAAAATTGTATACTTTTTAACCACAACTGCTCGTCTTGCACTAGGTCTGCGATGTGCATCCACAACTTCACACATAACGTAGTCATGTTGGAAAGGTCACGTGTGACATAGGCAGAAGTACCTACACTGGTTCATAAAGGTAGGGTCGGGCGAAAAACTCTCATTTTCACCTCCAACTTCACAATCATCTGTCGTTGTTTTACCTTTTTTTGTGAAGGGCGTTTGACTTAGTCTTTGCATGTTCACTTTGTAAACACTGGGTCGGTACTTCCGCCTATGGAATGTAGGCGTGACCTTTCCAACATGATTACGTAATGTGTGAAGTTGAGCTAGTGAAAGATGAGCATTTGTGGTTAAAAAGTATATATATATATATATATATATATATTTTTTTTTTATTAGAAAATGACAGATAGTTTCGACCCTTAGTCCTCGGCTGGGATCGTGTAGAGCCTTTTGAAGCTGCATTGAACCTGCAATTTGGACCTTCAACCCGCTGGTTCCCATTGAAGTCCTCTATATGGAGAAAAATCCTGAAATGTTTTCCTCCAAAACCCAAAAGAAAGAAAGACAGGAACATCTTGGATGACATGGGGGTGAGTAAATTATCCAGAAATTTTAATTCTGGAGTGAACTAATCCTTTAAAATCAGAAGCTTTTTGAATAGCTTTGCTCATATTGAAATGTTTTTGAAAGGTCAACTAGTTATGAATATTAGTTATAATTACCAGTAATTATATCCAATACGAGAAAGCAATCAAGAATGTCAGTAACATACTTAGCACTTGTAACCTTATGGGGTATTTTCATGCAGTTTTTAAGCCCTTTACCCAGTGCCTTGCAGTGATTTGTTCATGTACAGGACTAGACTTGCATGTAACCATGGTAACTGCAGCAGGAACTCTCCAAGTGTGTGTGTGGATCCGTTTGGATGAGAGGGATCACTGCCTCTGCAGGTCTTCTCCACCTTTCCGCTTCCTCTCTTCAACTCACCCCTCATTTTTTCTCTCTTCCTACCTTTCTCTCCGTTCTGCCTCTTTGCCGGCAGAGGTGCCCGCACCGGCCCAGCCTCTACAGTCAGGAGCAGTGCGGCTCTCTCCGATATTCACCTGGGTGCTGCCAAGGCTGCCACCAAACCTGACCCGCCCACCCTCCTCTAGCCTTGGCCAATCACAGTCATGGACATAGCCATAACCACACCCACATTCTTCACCAGAACCACACTCAGACTCTAAACCACACCCACCTTCTCAATCACAACCATGCCCACAGACTCAACGACAACCATGTCCATACTCTCAACCACACCCTCGACAAGAACCACACCCACGCCCTGAGCCACAACCACTTTCATACGCTTAACCACAACCATGCCCACCAGACGCAGAACCTTGTATTGGAGCAAAACCACATCACTGTACATCTCTGAAATGAGCTTGATTGCATGTGTTTGCATTAGAGTTAGTGCTGACAATTTTAGAGTCGAGCTGACAGCGTAGCGTGAGCATATTAGCCAGCTAATTAGATAAGTGGTTAGCTGTCAGCAAGTTATTTAGTGCAAATGAACTGCTTAGTTTCCATGGCTGTGCAATAAAAGTTTTGCATAGTCGCAGGTCTCTTTTCCTTTTTAACTTTAACATGCAGGTATACGCATACATACAAGTTGCTCTCGCTAGGGCATGCTAAAATTGTTCCACAGTGTAATGCCCTGACTAAAGCTTTGTTTTGAACTCCTTTGAGAGTCAATTCTTTTGGCAGCAATAGCCAACGCTGCATTCTAATGAGGACCCGGAGTTAAAAAGAGCTGCTCTGGGACAGACATTTTTGGTTTACCCTGAGGGATGCAGTCAGTTTGTGTCCATTGTATTGTATCTTTTTTTAAGGGTCCTCCTCTTTTTTCATAAAAATAATATCCGTTTTGTTTGTTTGGAAAGTCAAGTCCAGCTGTGTCAGACAGCGGTATGCTAATTTATGTTCACTTTGGTTCATTGTAATTAGTGCTGGTGCTAAAGAATCTGCTATTTATTGTAGAGGTGTTGCAGATGTGTTGCATTAGACTAGTACTTTGTCGAAACACAGCGTGGTGATTGCTAAAATTTTATTTTTTTTTCTTTTTGATGGACCCTTTAACCACCACATACTGCCTATAACAGTGCTTAGCTCCACCCTTCATCATACACAAGCAGGGTTGGGGAGTAACGGAATACATGTAAAGGCGTTACGTAATCAGGATACGAAATACTAGTAACTGTAATCCGTTACAGTTACATCAAAAAACTAAGTATTCAGATTACAGTTACATTTTGTAAAAAGTGGGAATACTATCAGGATTAGATTTGTTTAATTTAAATTGAAATAAATGAGTATTTTGACATAACGCTATATATTTAGCGCTGCTTCATCATAGTTCTTGGTAGAGCCCTGCACGGGCCTCAAATATAGGCCCTAGCCCAGCCCGTGTCCGACAGCTTATCAGACTTAACGGCCCGAGCCTGTCTTTTTTCCCCCTTCTCCCAAAACAGCTTATACTACTGTCCCAGCTATTTAAATAGTTCAGTTTTGTATGTAATGGCAAAGTGATTATATTTCGTTTCGTTTTTTTATTAAGTTAATTTAGAAAAACATTTGGAGCATTTTTTTTGTTCGTTACAAGTTTTTGTTTTTTTAAAGTAACAACCAAGCGGCCAGCGGCAGACAGTAAGCTGATCATAGCCAATGTTTGATCAATTTAGCCTTCTCAAATCATCACGACTTGCCTAAAATAAAATCTATAGATATAAAACAGTTCAAGCATATAACAATGTTTAAACATTAAATCTAGATAAATGTGCGCTGTATCCAATAGTTTGTGCGGAGAGTGCAAGCTAAAGCGCGGTTTGCAGGATATGGAGGCGCCAGCACGATCACTTGCATTTTTTTTCAGTGGATAGCCTACGCCATTATTTTTGCTGATAAAGGTAAGAGTAATACATCATTCATAACTGTAAAGGGTCTACTTTTATTTGTGTGCACTCACAATATCAACAAAACGTTGTGCTTTTATAAAATAAAGAATATAAACATGATGCGCTTTATGCCGTCTCGTCTTGAACAGGAGCGCTTCACAAAAATTATCCGAAACTCAGCGAATAGATGCCTCACGGGCATGATAAATATATCTATAGAAAGCTTTAAATTACTACTTAACAAAATAAAACAAATCGAAAACAAAAACTCTTTCATTATAACAATAATCATAATCCGTTATTAGTAAATAATTCAAATATCTCCTTACTATTTCTCCCGGACACATTCATGATAATTACTTTTGCTGGGGTTTTGCGGCAAGCTTTAGCCTTGCGTGCATTTGAACGCAGAACTCTTCAGCTGCGCTGACTGCACGCAGCATATGCTGCTGCTGGACACTAAACACCGTCGAGCCGCTCTTGACAGTCGCGGCAGCACGGTCTCGTGTTGTTTCCACCAGCGCGGCAAATTATTACTTTTTCATCACTAATTGATAGATGTCTAAAATATAAAAATAGGAGAAGCCTAAAGCCCGGCCCGCGTCTGAACTATGACGTGAAAATTGTGGAGAAGCCTAAAACAGGCCCGAGGCCTGGCCCACGTCTAAACTATGACGTGAAAATTGGCCCGAAGCCCGGCCCTAGGGGCATAAAAAAGTAATGGACTTATTTACATATGTAACTTGAAGTAATCCAAAAGTAACCAGATTACATTACTTTTATATTGTGGTACTTGGATTACGTTACTGAATGCTTTTTTAATGAAGTAATTTGTAACTGTAACGGAATACATTTTAAAAGTAACCCTCCCAACCCTGTACACAATTTGTATGACCCAAATGTAAACTATCAAGAATTCGTCTCTATATATTTAGTTCACTTGTGGACAGCATGCCGTTTGTAACAAGCTGATGTAATCTCTTCTCTATCATTCATTCACCTACACAGACGGACTTTGAGAAAGACGTGGATTTGGCGTGTCAAACAGGTAAGTTCTTCTGGGACCTCCATTTTGCCTTTCACTACTGCTGTCCTAGCTCTTTGCTTTCTCATTCTTACACTTTCCTTGCCATTTTTTCACTTATTTGCCCTGGTTCTAATGCAGTTTGTTTAGTAAAACTTGTTCATATAAAGTTAAACCTGCACATCATTGTCTCCCCCTCACTTGCAGAAAGAGGACACCCATGTAAGTCTCACTCTAAAGTTAGAACATTCCTGTTTGTGTGTCATTTGTGTTAGACCATATTATTTTGTTGTTTTGGATAAACTGACATACAAATTGTGCATGTTCACTCTTTTATTGTCATATCCTTATTCTTTGCCATACTAGGGCCTTAATTTTAACTTGGAATATTCAGTTCCAAGAACTGTAATTGGCTGGTTTAGTTTTAACTAGGGCTGTCAGTCGATTAAAATGTTTAATCTAATGAAAGGGTTACTCCACCCCAAAATGAAAATTGTGTCATTAATCACTTACCCCCATGTCGTTCCAAACCTGTAAAAGCTTCGTTCATCTTCGGAACACAATTTAAGATATTTTGGATGAAAACTGGGAGGCTTGTGACTGTCCCATTGACTGCATAGTAAATTGCACTGTCAAGGTCCAGAAAAGTATGAAAGACATACTTTATATATCTTTACACTTTACATATCTTTACATATCGACTTTATTCAACGTTTTCTTCTCCTCCGTGACACTTCCTGCAAGCGCGTTCATGAGTTCACTAGCAGAGCGATGCAAGCACGCCTCAGATGACGCACGACGTAAATTCTATACGGGTTCTCGGTCTGTACGCTGGCCTCGATGTCAGCAGGTCACGGTGTTTACGTCGATATTTTGTTTTCTTTGCACACAAAAAAGTATTACCGTAGCTTCGTAAAATTACGGTTGAACCACTGATGGCAGATGGACTATTTTGACGATGTCTTTCATACTTTTCTGGACCTTGACAGTGCAATTTACTATGCAGTCAATGGGACAGTCACAAGCCTCCCGTTTTTCATCCAAAATATCTTAAATTGTGTTCCGAAGACGAACGAAGCTTTTACGGGTTTGGAACGACATGGAGGTAAGTGATACATGACAAAATTTTCATTTTGGGGTGGAGTAACCCTTTAATTACATGATGTGTTGATTAATTAATCTAATTAATCACAAATTAAATTTGGCTGTGAAAATACCCACAAAAGATCATTTAAAGTTATGATTGTGTTAAATGAGAAAGTATCAAGTAGACATTACAGCTTTAGAAATAAATATTTTTATTTGATTCAACATAAAATTTATTACACATAAATGTTTAGCCTACAGTGGCCTAACATAAACAATGGACCATAAAAGAAGATACTTTGAGAAACATATCTGTATTTTTTATTCATGCAATGAAACAGCTTTGTTACGAACAGTCTTCAAAATACCTTATTTTATTTTGCGCAAAAGAAAGTCATACAGGTTTGAAATGACATGAGGGTGAGTAAATGAGGACATGATTAAGATTTTGGGGTGAACTTTCCCTTTAAGGTCTTTTTTTAATGAAATTATACTCTAAATAAGAAACTAAAACTGCCAGCAGGTGGCCTTAAATGTATTTATGAGTCATTCATTCATTCTTTCTGTCAATGGGCCTTTGAATCATTGGTTCACCCGATTCGTTCAAAACGCAGATTCATTCAGAAACTAAACACCGCCGTGCTGCTCGGAGACGCACAACAATATATGGCTTTATCGGTAATATTTTCATTGGCAAAACTGAGCAAAAACAGACAATATTGTGTTTAAAATATAACACGATATTAAATTCTTATTTAATGAACTGTTGTATAAAATCACATTTAAACTCCTGATATTCGGGACAAAAACAGCACTCATGTGATATTGCTCTCGCTGCTCATGTGATATCGCTTATCATATGATATAAATATGAGACAAAAACTCATACAGGGGTATTTTTGCCCCAATAGCTTGTATTTTAGGGCATAACTGCATTTATGGTGTCGTTGCCCTGCATCATGTTTGTCAACAGTCAGGTCTGGGGGCGTTAACTGCAGCAAAATATTTTAATTGCATTATTTTTTCATAACTAACTAATTAATTAACACGTTAAACTGACACCCCTAGTTTTAACACTAAATCAGCTTGATAGTGTTTCTAGTTTCACCTCATAAAGAAAAAGTATGTGGTGCAGCGCTAGCATTTCAGGTTTATTGAAGTCCAGACTTATCTTGGTCTGTAACCTCAACATTATAGGAGTAGAAACAAATATGTTGATCAGTTTTGTGGAATAGAAACTACCATTGCTGTAATATCGACCTTATAAAATGTAAAATAAGACAATATCAAGAAAAGTTATATTTTCTTTTATTTTATAAGTACATTATTTTAGATAAATGCAGTTGCTCCTTATTCATATTTTTCCTTTTACCTTTTGGAGTTATGTTGGCTGTTAAATGTGACCTTATTAATGATGTATGAAATGGTTAGGCCATTATGGCTGATGTTTTTTTCTCTTAGAGGAGCTGATTTGTGCATGGCTTTCCTTCCTAACCCTACCTAATTCAAGTGAACTCCTACTGTAACACCTCTGGGGCACCAACTTTTGCAACCGTCCAACTTATGCATGCCAAGACTCCTGGATACTAATTCCCCTGCCTGAAAATGTTTGTCCTTTCCTGCCCTTCACTGCCTTACCTTTACCTGCTCTGTTGACCTCTGCACTGACAAACTCCATTTCCATGCACTGTAACTGAGCTCATTTTCTTTTGTCTTTTTTCCCATCATTCCCTCTACCGATCACATTCTCTCTGCGCCCTCTCAAATCAATCTTGCTTACTCTGTTACCGCTTCAACCTCTCTCCAAAACATCTGGGCTCTATACCTTTGGGAACTGCTGTGTAACCATCTTCCATCCCACCCCTTTCCTTTTCTGTCATGTGTTGTTTCACCATCCAACTTTGTTATAATCGGTTTCGCTCTCTGCTCTTTGCCACTCCATCCATCTGTGTGGTCTTGTGCACTTGACCTCTGCTTCCTTCTCTTTCTTCCTCCCCACTTCTGTCTATCTGTTCTCTTTCTCTCTTCCTCTCTCCTTCCAACCTCAGTCATCTTTAAGGAGGTAAACACCTGTAACCCTGCTACCATAACTGGCACTCTATCCCGCATCTCTCTGGACGACGAGGATGACCCCAAGTTGGCGGCTCATCAGGAAGGCATTAATTTCAGCAGCCTGCCTGGGAACATCCCACCCCCTAACCTCCTGGTGCAGGTACCTCCTTTGTGTCCCCTGAATGAGCTAAGCGAGCAGCCACTAAAGAAGGAGGTTAATGTGGAGCAACAAGGTCAGCATCAACAATCTGGACCCATCTACCTGTGCACCGAGAGTGGGCTGGGTTGGGCCCGACCAAACCCTTCTTCCACCCAGGATTCAGCTGGTGGCGGAGGTGGGGAAGGGGACTACATGGTGTTGCCTCGTCGGACAGTCAGTCTCAAGCCCCCTCCTCCAGCCCAGGATGAGGGGAATCCCCTGAACATTACAATGGATGACCCTCCCTTTCCTCCACCCCCTTCACCCTTGACTCTGCATCCAGCAGAGAGTGAGGCATACCCCGTAGACTTTACAGCTGTGGACCACATCAGCATGAACCTAAACCGCTCCTACAGCACGCTCAAACAGTTGCCGGCCCACACTGGGCACACGCACACACACTCCCACACCAACACCCACACCCTACAGGTCAAGCAGAATCGTCCCTCTGTCCGGCAGATCCTCACCTCGGGAACAGTGGAGCGCACCAGAACCCTTCCCCGTAACCTGGGCAGCACCAACACCAGCCACTCGGCTGGATCTTTGGAAGTAAGTAGGGGTTAAAGAAGGGGTTCATTCTTTCACAATCTACAACCATCAGTACCAAATGAGCCAGGGTATTTTGGAAACCACCTGCGGTTTGCAGTTTTGGCGTACAACATAGCAGCACAATAGTGTTGTAATTTCTTAGCATTCTTTCCAAAAACAGGGAACTGGGGACCACATAGCATAAAGAATCATTATAGCAGGAAAATGTAAATTAGATCTGCATAAAACATCACCAATATGAAACCAAACATGAATGCAGTGATTGCAAACACGACAATCCAAACACACAAACTGTACATTCCTACCTAGCAACAGATACATTATCACTAATTCCCTATCGATACTTCACTCATACTGCGTCTGTTTAAGACACTTGGGGAAAACTCCTTTTTCTTCGATGACTGAAGCCTTTCAATAACGCAGTGTAAATGCATGGCCATTAGTTCGTGCAGTGAATAAAAAACGAACCAATTGCTCGGCAGCGGAGCTACAGGAGCCTATGGTGGTAAAGCCCGCCAGAATGGGCGGGGTCATGTGGCTATATAAGTGGCACATTGCTATAGGATCCTCAAATTATTCTCCTTCAGCGACGACTACTAGATCTTTGCTCTACGAGACTACAAAGCCTTCGCCTTGATCAAGCCTCGCAGCAGATCGAGAGACCCCTTCCTGCTCGGCCATTCTCGCCGCTTCACGGTCTCCGGTTCACTGCCGCTATCCGGCGATATAAAAGAGCAAATTTCAGAGCAAATTTTCAGCGTTGTTTCAAATGCCACACCCATACTGTCGCTCGTGCAGGGCCCCCCTGAACGCCGCTGACGGTCACGGCGAGTGTGTTGTAGCGAATCAGCTCATAAGGGAAATATGAATAATTAATCATAACTAGTTATAATTAATTATAAATATTTAGATCCGCTGTAGATATTTATTTGACCTCTCAGGGTCAACTGTCTGTCAATTCTAAGAACGTTAATTTCCTGGTTAAGGGAAATAACTTTCTTACTGTACAATTCTACAAAGAGCTTGTAGCATAAATCTGCATGATTAAGCGACTCCAGTTATGAGCAAACAATGAACAACGTCAAGTGTGATACAAGTAAGACTTTATTAACCACATAAACACTTAAACTAGTCTAACATACTACATAAACAGTTAAACTGGTCTAACATACACATACACGCACACACACACACACACATACAGTTGGTATAGGAAAGGGTTAAAGCTTAACTCAGTAAAGAGGAGGGAGAATAAGAATAGGAAGTTATGGAACCATTTGCATATTCAGCAGATCTAACGCCTGAAGGAAACATCAGATTCTTAGTTCAAACACAC